CAGACAGTACCTGAGATCCATTTCTGTTCTGATATTTATTTAATGAAATGAAATAATTATGAAAAGCCAATTAACTTTTAATTTAATTGCTTTAAAATAACAGTGAGTTTTACTTCTTCTTCTTTTTTTTTAAGCAACCACCTTTTCCCTGCAAGGCAGGCAACAGGAGTTATATTGTTACTGATCTTTGTCCCAGCCACTTACTGTGGTGGGATAGTGAACACGTGCATTATTGTAGCTGGTAGATATTGAATTTCTGATTCTAGGGCTCTTGGTCTTTCTCCAACATCAAGTTACACATAATAAATTTGAACAAGTTTTTGGGTGCAGTAATAAAAGCTTTTTTACAAGACCAACACCAAATCCAACTTTTCCAAGTCAATGGCATAATAATTCAAGCAGTCAGTGTAAACATTCCTGTAGCTCAGTGGTTCTCTTCTAATTTGGGTAATCACTGGAGACTGTGTGAACTGAATTCAGTGAAGTAATAGCTAGAATTGTTTTGAACTTGAAGTAATCAACAAATTTATAGAGATTTGGAGAGGGTTTTTTTCTTGTTTCTTCTCTTTAAAAAAATTTTTTTTAAATTTTGATGATATAAGACACCTTCAGTTTTAGTAGGTACTTTAGTCCTTAATCTCCTAAACAATTTCTTGAAATCGTATATAATATATTCATTTGAGCTTTAATTCCTCCTTCGGATCTGCTTAATCTGTGTTACAACACGGTAGCAGTGTATATGATCTTGTGCTACAGTATGTATGCTCTTGTCTCATCCTTTCCACTAAATTAAAGTTAGCTGACAGCAGAGACCATATTTCTCTTACATTTTTATCGCTTTCAGTACTTAGCATTGTAAAATATTTGCATGTAGTCAATGCTCAGTAGAACTTCATGAGTTTCATTAATTTAATATATCTGCTTACATTAGAACAGGAATCACCCTGTGGTAGAAATTCTGTTCCGTGTCTGTTTGTTTAAAATTGTCCTGAGTTGCTGTTTTATCTAACTGTGGAAGCTTTCAGCATCAAACTGCTGCCACTTTATGTAGTCAAATAATCCATGCCAGTGAGTAGTACATGTTCTGTTTTTCAAACATTAATTTGGCTTTCTTGGTAACTTAAATATCTTAAACTTTATTTTAGATAAGTCAGCTTCTTAATTCTCTTAACAATTATGATTTCCATCCAGACATAGTATATTATGAAATTTTTGTTCCATTTTATTTTAGTCAAATATTTTGCTCTTCATACTTTAATTTTTCTGGCCTAGAAAAGATAAGCTACCAAACATAAACATTTTAAAAGCAAAAATAGATTTTTAAATATAAAAGGCATTATAAAGGATTAACTGAATAAAAGCTATTTGGAGACTAATCAATGAAAATTATATAGAATTTTCCAAACACAGAGGTGGCCCTGTCATTCTCCACTTACCTTTCTCTATTCTGATGACGTTACATTCTTCTCCTGTTACTTCGTCTATATAAACCTAGTCTGAGTGGCTCTACAATTGGAACATAATGGTTTTCAAAGTAATACTATTCTCAGAACTGGTTTTTTTCCTTGGATTTTCATAACACAGTTAAGGAAAAGACATTCACATTTATCTAAATACTTTGGAAAATATAATTGTAATTGTAGCCCAACCAGGAACTCTTGTTATTTTCATTTCAAAGATTTCAGTCATAGTAAGAAGAAATCCTTTTTGTGTGTTTGCCAGATACCAAGTTTCTGTCAGCAAAAATACTTTGTAATAAAGCATAAAATACTGAAAAGGACAAAGAATAAAATCAAGACCAATAATTTAAAATACATCATTCATCCCTTTTCCTGGAAGAATGTCTGGCTATTGCAGTCTAAGCTTACTTCTTTCTATAACTCTTTTCTGATAGCTCTTGAAAAGCTATGGCAAGGAAGAAGAACACATTTTGGAAGCAGAAAATAAAAAACTAGTAGAAGACAAAGAAAAACTGAAGACTGAATTAAAGAAGGCATCAGATGGTAACATTGTTTGCATGTGCAAAAGTAGAAAGAGTAGCATGATGTTTTATGCTGTTACACTTTACTGTTTTCTCTAAAACAAAACCAATGGCTAAATGTTCTTCTGGCTGAAATACCATGAGTGACCTATTTATAAATTCTTGTTCAAATATGAAGACAAAACATTGTTTCAGCCAAGAGAAACATACTCTGTTATACAGGAAAACATGTAGGTATTTCAGATCTGTGTTGTAAATACAGATGTTCCTGCCTCAGCAAAAGAGCTATGTTCCTGGAAAGTTGCTTGTAAACACATTTTTGGAAAATGAATCACACTTTTCCATCATAGTCTGTTGCTTCTTTGAAGGAAGCAGTTGCAGGGGGACAATTTTGGCTACAAGAAAAAAATATATTGCTTATCTCAACCCCTAGTATTTTCTACCTGCCAAATGGAAGGTAAACGTTCCTTGAGAGATGGACAGGGATAGAATAAGCTACAGTCTGGGATGTCAGCTTAGAATTTAAACATCTAATTCCAAAATACATTGCAATGAAAAAAAAAACATTGCACTGAAGGCTTGGAGTAGAACATCCCAACTCCATTTCCCTGAAGGCAGCTATTTCATCTGCATTGTTTGTTTTTTGAAAAATAGTTCCGATAGTGTTTTCTTCTTCTGAGTTTAAGAACACATTACCTGCAGCCACATAGCACAGAAGGATAGATAGCCAAGTCCGATGTCATCCCAGGAAACTCTGAATAAGTTTATGGCTTGACCCCTGGCAACATTCCTGCATATGACAGATAGTCCTTGATGTTGTCCAGAAACTGGGGAGCCTCTCAGTCAGAGTCAAGATAATGATCAATGCGTAGACCTTCTCCAGTTTCAAATCTCTTCCACTGTTTTGTGTTGGCAATAAATTGGAGAATGTTCAGTGACTGAATCAAGGACTGATTTTATGTCATTTGTAAGGTTAGATTTTTTTTAAAAAGCCTCAATATAATAGAAGTTTCAGTAATATAACCTACTGTTGTTGGTTATCTATTTACATTGTTTGGATAGAGTTGACTTCATCAAGATATATGTGAATTTGAGATGGAAAGCCTGAAGATAAAAGCTACTTTTGTCTTAAAAAAAAAATCACAGCCTATTTAATATGATATAAAATATATAGTCACTTTCCTACATCTTATTTAAAGTGAAAAAAAAGAAAATCATTTAGAGGCAGTAAGTTAAAAAATAAGTTACTCTTCTAGACAAGGTGGTAAACTATGTGCGTGGTTGGTATAGTACAGCCCAAAATTCTAATCTTGTCATAGTTGGTACTCTTGGCTCTTCTGCAGTTCCAAAAGATTTGGAACATGACCATGAAGTTTTATCATTTATATGGAAATAAATTTAGTAATCAGACATTTCAAAAGAGAAATAGTGTTCTTTTTTTTACCCAACACAAAATATTGTTGCTAATCCTTCTGAAGAATGCAAGGGACTATTTCCAAAATACCTTTAATTAGTTTTTTAAAAATTATTTTAAAATCTTGCTTTCTTTTTTTCATATCTGCCAAGCATACTTTTCCATATGTTGTAATCAGAGTATTACAAAAATAAAAGATGAGGGTAGATTGGGTGCTGTGCTGCCCCTCCCTCAACCCTGGCTAGCTAGGTTCTTCTTCCTTTGCCTTTCAGAATTCCAACTCGGAGATATTTTGAGCTTTAACCTCAGAAGTCTGATACATAACTCTAAACTCAATATTATTTTCAGTAATATAAGGAAACTCAGTATTTCTTTAACAGACAACTCAGGTGTTTGGAGAAAACGAACTTTGAAAATATAGGCATTTTGTTTATAATCTGGTAACAGGAGATACCAAGCGTCTGTGTTTGAAATGTAGACTGCAAAGCTACTTTCAAAGTGAATCAGTGTTGAGGTAAAAACAGATTTTACCTGTTTGAGTATGTCCCATTTGGTTCCTGCAAAGTGTGTGGTATTTTATGAACACATTTTATTTACCCAAAGTTGTTATTTTAGATAACATTATTAATGACCTTGAGAAGATCAGAGTTCCATTTCTAAAGGAAGTATAACCTTAGCTATATTCTCTTGACCTATACCAGTCAAATTCATTAAGAACTAAGAAATAATGTAATAGTACAAAATTGGGATGAATTCAGCAGCACAATGCTCCGTACATAGTACCATTCAAACATATTCATTGATTTCTAAAAATTGAGGACATTAAGGCTGACAGTGCTTAAGAAATGTTTCAGACAGTTCTTTTATATTTCATAATTGAGTAGAAAAGCAATGTGGTTTGTTTTTGATAGAGGTAAATAGAGTATTTTCCATATGAATTGTCTTACCTTTGGTATTTCTTGAATCTAAGTGCAACATTTTCTCCGAATGTATTACTGAAAGTAAAGTGTAAATACAAATGTCTATTAAAGCTGGTTAACCCCAAATTAAAAAACTGTTAATCTGAAGGCAGGTATTAAGGGCAGTAGTACCAGTAGTACCAAACTCTCCATCAGTTTTTAACCAGCAGCTCAGATTTTTGACCAGAGTTAGTAAATCACCTGTACTTCAGTACAGTAATATGATCCTAGTGAGTCAAAAGCAAGCATGCATGTCTCAAAGAACCCAGTTTACACTCAGGACTAACCTAGTCAGGTGTAAGGACCTGATCTGTCATTTTTAATGATCTGTTTAATGGTAACTCTGATGTCCCAGCATGTGTAGTAGTTGGGAAAAGGCATTGCCATAAAAAAAATGAGAACTTAAGCTTTAAAGAATTTATGAAGCTTACAAGCTCTCATGATAAAAATAGACCTTGTATGTAGTGGGAAAGCTTCTGATGTCCAGGGAGATTGACTTCAAAGGCTCTTCTAGGAGAGCTTCCTATTATTTATTCTTAATATCTTTCCAGTATTTATTCTTTAAACTAGTGGAAGTATGTACCATTCAGTCCTTGTGTGCATCCAGGCGGTGGTAGAAGTAGGCATGATTTTAAAAGTGATTGAGTTGCATGTGGAAATATCTCTTCCTCCTTCTTTTAGGGATATATCCGTAACGTGCTGCACTGAAAGTTGTCAGAGCTGCCACCCTAATAGTAGAAGTTGAGAGGTGGTGTATTTCTCCTACATGAAGGGAAAAAGAAAAGAAAAATATGCTTGGTCAAATCCCTTGACCCTGCCTTTATTATTCCTTCCTTTCTTCCTTCCTTCCTTTCCTACTTCCCTCCCTCCCTCCCTTCCATTTCTTCCTTTTTCTTTCTTCTATCAGCAATTTTTTAGGAACTTTTCAAATAATTTATTCATTGTAAGATCATTTAACATGGAGCATAATTAAAACTGTCCTTAAAAAGAATACCTAGAGGATAAAGCACATTTTTATTTTATTTAATTATTTATTTGTTTTTCTTCCAGTTTTATTGAAATATAGTTGACATGTGGCACTATATGAGATATACCACATAATGATTTAATTTACATGCATCATGATGTGATTATCACAGTAAGTTTAGTGAACATCCTTCATCTCATATAGGTACAAAAGAAAAGAAATAGGAAAAAGATTTTTTTCCTCTTGATGAGAACTCTTAGCATTTACTCTCAATGATTTTCTATATATAACGTAGAGCAGCATTAATTATATTTTAATGTTGTATATTATATACCTAGTACTTAGTTGACTACCTTCATCCAGTTCCCTCTTCCCACCCTCCACCTCCGGTAACCACAAATCTGGTCTCTCTTTCTATGAGTTTGTTTTTGACGTGTTATTGACCTACAATACTGTGTTAGTTCCTGTTGCACAACATAGTGATTTGATGTTTTTGTACATTTCAAACTGATCACTATGATAAGTCTAGTTACCTGTGTCAGCAGACAAAAATGTTAGCTATTAACTGTATTCCCTACACTGTACATTTCATACTCAGGACTCATTTATTTTGCAACTGAAAGTTTGTACCTTTTAATCACCTCACCTATTTCTCTCTTTGCTCTGGCCCCCAACCCCTGGCAAACACCTGTTTGTTCTCTGTATTTATAACTCTTTATGTTTTAGGTTTGTCATTTTTTTTTAATTCCACACAGAAGTGAAATCATACAATATTTGTCTTTCTCTATCTGACTTATTTCAATTAGCCTAATACTCTCTGGGTCTATCCCTGTTGTTGCGAATGGCAAGATTTCATTCTTTTTTATGGCTGCGTAATATTTATGTGTGTGTACTTCATCGTCTTTATCCATTCATCTATGCATCTATTAGGTTGATTCCATATCTTGGCTATTGTAAATAATGCTGCAGTGAACATAGGGGTGCATATATCTTTTCTAATTAGTGTTTTTGTTTTCTTCAAATAAATA